CAAAAGCACATAATAATATAGCTAAATAAGTGTAAACATTTTGCTTACAACATTACAAAATTTACTTAAATATTGATATTATTGGAGAGGACAATTAAGTTTCGAAAATACAACTCTATAGTTCCTTGCTTCTATATAAAAGTATTTTATCCCAAGGCAAATTTAGAGCTGCAACACAACCTGACATGCACAAGATATAAAAAAGTTGATTCAGTTGCAAACCCTGGCTGTGGTAAACAGGCTTGGTCCTATGATTTTATATCTACTTTTCAGAAAGACCTCCACAGTTGGTGTAGGGTAACTACTCAGCCATGCTAAAGGCTTGTCAAGATCCTGTTCCATCTCACTTCACCTATAAGGTATATGAATCAATTAAGGGAAGGGGAGAGTTTGTGATATGCAGACAGACATCAGCATGCAAATGACACAATGTTCTTCCTTTTGAACATTGAATATGTTTCCAAATGACATATTATATGCATTTTTCCAGTAGCTGGCCCATAAAGGGACTCAAATAGGACTGAAGAGCAAGCCATGCAAGGAAAGGCTGACAGATATGGGACTGTTCAGCCTAGAAAAGATAGGACTTTGGGGGGGATTTAGTGGCAGCTTACAAATATATCAAGGGTAAGCATCAGGGGCTAAGCAAACAACTATTCATCCAAGTGCCCCAGGGGAAAACCAGGAGCAACAGTCATAAACTCCTAGAAGAAGGTTTCAGACTAGATATACGAAAAAACTTCTTCACAGTTCATGTTACCAGACTCTGGAATAGACTCCCAGTGGGGGTGGTGCAGGCAACTACACTGGAGATCTTCAAAAAGAGACTGGACGCACACCTTTCTGAGGTTACTTGACCCCAGCAGTCTTTCCTGCCCAGAGCAGGGAGGGCTGGACCTGATGATCTCATGAGGTCCCTTCCAGCCCTAAACTTTTGTGAACCTGTAAATGAAAACACACTGGCCCAAACTCAGTCTAAACAGAATGGAAATGGTACTGGCAGATTAGGAGAAGTCACCTAGTGGGTATGGTAGCCATGGTGATTGCCTCCTTGACTGAGTGGGATTTACCTAGGCTTTTGTGAAAATACTTATTTATTTATTCAATTTATATGCCTCCCTACCAAACAAAGCAGTATGCAATTTAGGGGTACACCTCTGCATCTTCTCTTACCCTGGAGTGCCAAAGAACTTGAGTTGTTTGAATGCCTCTGTCATCTCACATACAGCATCTATCTTGGTTGTGGACTTTACAGCAATTCTTCATGCCTTTTTTACTTGAATACTAGAATATTGTAAAACACTGCATGTGAAACTATCCTTAAAGACCTCTCAGAAGTCACAACTGGTTTACAGTGGGATAACCTGCTGCTTGCTTAAGCAGAAAAGAATTACCCTAGTACATCAAAGACTGTACTGGTCTTACATTCACTTCAGGTTGCTGTTTTTAAAACACAGCTTTACTTATAATATAGCTGCTTCAAATGCCTCTATTGGCTAAGGTTAATTGAGATAAATTCACTTTTCAGACTACACATACACATTTAATCTAGTACTGTCAGGGTGTGTCTACACATCACTGTACTTTAGTATTTTCTTTTGGAAGTATTAAAGCACAGCACAGTAACCATCTGTACTGCATGCAACATGTACACAGTAAGTGCATGGTTAAATTTTGCCACTACTTCACTATAGCGGTGCGCTAAAATGGGGGAGCACGCCACTATGGTGAAGTAGCCGCCAATCATGTGTAGACTCGTGTGATCGCTATGTTGCCATGGCACGCCATACAGCAATGTAGGACATTGCTACGGCAATGTAGGGTGATTTGTAGATGCACCCCAAATGCCCAATTCTGTATCTACTGAAGTTGACGGCCAATGGAACAGAATATTCTACAGAATAAAGAGTAGTTTTATTGCAAATGCTTGCCAGAAAACATATGCAACCGTAATAAAATACCCAGGTGGAAGAAACGTGGCTATAAAAGTTAAGACTAGTGTCTTGGCACATTTTCCTGATCAAACCAGTCACCTCATTTTTCCTTTTGCTGCTTCAATTTGGATTTCCATTTGCAACAGACAGCCAACATTTGCACAATTTAATGTATAAGCCTACTCACAAGGCAACTTCCTTTCCCTCTTTGGGACTCAACACTGACTTCATAGTCAAGTGCTCTGCATTACCTTACATTTAGAACACACCTTGCTTTGGCATTTTAGAAACCTATGGATACCACATGTAGGAGAAATGGATCACACAATGAAGTAATCTTAAATTTTACAGATAATTATTTGTCCTCCCCAGCTCACAACAAAAAACATAGTCAGGATTTCTCAATGTAAGTTCTTTTTTGTGAAAGAACAAAAGCATGAGAAGTTTTCCATGGAAAATAAATATTTAGAAAGGATATAATTATTCCTAGGTACTTTACAAAATATCTCAAACTGAAGGTTTTGAGAAAGCTAAACCCCTCTTCTCTCTTAAGGTCCTCAGAATAATAAATTCCAAATGCAGGGAGGAAAGAAAAACAACGTCATTAATGTAGGTTGTGTTTAAAAAAATACAAAACCTAATTATTCATACTTTTTTTTTCAGAAGCCATCTTACCACACAGAGTTATCTGATGCAGAGACGACCGTAGCAGGGTGAGGGGCCCGGGACAAATCAGCCTGTGTGGAGCCTGGACACGGCAACGGTGGGGGAGGGGGAGGAGCTGGATGCGAAGCTGGTCCAGCTCCACAGGGGCCCCAAAGCGCGGGGCCCGGGGCAGTCGCCCCAATTCGGCTCCCCCTCTCCCCCAGGGAGAGCCCTAATCTAATGTACAAAGTCTGTTAAAAAAAGTATTGAGACTAAACATGTATTTGTAGTACAAAGTATTAGGTAGAGGGCATGGCTTTGCTGAACATGGTCTGGGCATGTTGGGACTCCTCTAGACAGGTTTGCTGCTTATGGTGTTTCCACAGTTTTCTGTGGCCAGCAGTTGAAGTAAGATTGTTTGTGTCGTGCGTCCCCTTTTGTTATGTCAGAGCATCCAGAACAACGTGTGTACATTAAATTTTGCATGGAAATTGGTAAAACGGCAAATGAAACATTTGAAATACTTTAAATAGCATTTGGTGATGACACTATGAGCCATGGAAGAGTTTTTGAATGGTATCATCTGTTTAAGGAAGGACGATCATCGGTCGAAAGTGATGAGTGTTCCAGACACCCTTCAACATTATGAAATGATGAAAATGTGGCAGCGGTTCACAGTTTGATTTGAAATGATAGGTGATTGACTGTCCAAGAGATAGCAGAAGAAGTTGGAATTTTTGTTGGTTCATGTCATTCAATTCTAACCGGTGATTTGGGAATAAAACAACCAGAAAAACCACCAGAAAAGTGGGTGTCCGACTCTTGGATGCTTCACCACAAAAATGTACCTGCCCACTCAGCACAGCTTGCGAAGCAATTTTTAGCCAAATTTTAGCCAAACACTGTATCCCACAAGTGCTGCATCCTCCATATTCACATGATATGGCCCCATGCAACATTTTTGTCTTCTCTCAACTAAAGAAAACCTTGAAAGGAAGAAGATTTTGTGATGTGGAAACCATGAAACAAAATTAGGCTGAGCAGCTTTTAACTATTCCACAAGTTGCTTATCAAAGGGGCTTCCAACAATGGCAGAAACATTGAGAGAAGTGTGTGGCTGCAGAAAGATCATACTTTGAAGGAGATTAAGCTGAAACCCCTGTAAAAAAAATATTTTGTTTCCTTATAGCATCAGTCTCAATACTTTTTGAACAGCCCTCATATACTTTCTCCTATATCTTTTACAGTATAACTCAAGTTGATTAGAAGATTTTCAACTAAACATTTTTTTCACTTTCCATAGAAAATATCAGTTTGTTGAAGGTTTCACAGATCCAAGGTGAATGTTTTGGCTAAAGCAACAGACAGCAGACCGGACAACTGGTTAGGACATTCGTCTGGGACATGCAGAAGGCAGGACAAGGTAACATCTTGGGGCACCTACACACGTGCTGGATGTCTGCTCCAATGCTTGCTAATTACCACTTCAGAACAGACTTGATTAATCGATTCTGCTAGAATGTGCTAATTATCATGCACCGGCAGCTTCCACATCACATGTATTCAGTGTCCCTGTGCTTCAAAATGGGGGCGGGGGCACCTTAACTAAAGCTTGTTGAGGAAGTTTGGTTAAAGCACCGCTACTGCTATTTTGAAGCACAGGATGCCGAATATACCTTTACATTGCGGGCACTGTAATTAGAGTGGTTCTAGGAGCTGGTTTAATTAAAGCACTCCCTTCCACCCTGGAGCACATATAAAGACGCTCATTGAAACTCACAGGTTCAGAGAGACAAACTTTCCTAGCCAACAGCTTGCTTGGTGTAGTTGCTCTAATATAGAGCACTTGAAGGCTGTTTCTATTCATATAGGATGCCAGATTCATTCACAGCTCCCCAGGATTGTGGGGGGATGGCAGCTGGAAGTCACCATTAGACTTAGATGAACACATGCACACCAACAGCAGCAGTGTTGCAATTATGGGCATCCTCAGACATATTGTATTGCCTCACCTGGGCTGCTTCCTAAACTGGAAGTAGTGCAGCTAATTAGCACTGGTGAGTAATATTACCAGCTTGCCCTGCTCAGTGTCACATGTATGCAACTACACTGCTTCAAGGTCAGGGAGTAATAGGTTTGAAGGGCACTACTGCCTGGCCTAGTAAATTTGCCTTGTATTGACCTGGCTTAAGACTGCAGCCAACTGTCCACCTTTTTAATTTGACTCTGCCTGTCTAAAATGAGGCAGAGAAAAGGCAGGTTCTTACAAATTAAATGACAGCTAATACCTTGTAAAATAGAGGGAAGAAGGAAGATCCATTTTCTCCACATCTGCCAGTACTTTTCCACCAGGCCATTCTTAAATGGTATACTGTACATTAACCAACATAGACCTGTTTTGTGAAAAACAAGTTTGTTTACCTTATCTGCTATATCAACTCTGGCTTTGTGATGGAGGAGAAAATCCACGGTGGAAAAATGACTTCCTGCAACAGCGAAGTGGAGTGCTGTGCGTTTCATCTGAAATAAGCACAACCTGAGTTGGTGGGTATGAAATATAGTTCTTTTCATTAGACAGACAGTCAGGGCTTCTGAAGACCCTGATCACAGCTTACTATTATGTAATCCTCTGTAAGTCTCTCCTTGCCAATAGCCAAAATTTGCAATTTTATGCATTTGTTTTCTCCTGCTTAACTTAAAAAACACCATTGAATGATGTGGTGAAACCAGAACTCTTTAGGTATTTATATGCCAATGATAAGCCTTTCAGTAAAACCAGCTGAGGAGGCAAACAGAAATTAAATAATCACACATTCCTTAGGGGAGGCATTAATACAACAAACATTCATTTCCACAATGTCCATTTTATGGTTTGATTTAAAAAAGCAAGGACTCAGCTTCTGGGATTAGATTCATTTCTTGACAATGTCCTGATTGCTGAACGTTTGCTTTTGATTGTATCTATGCAACGCATGACTGGAACTATCTTTCTCAGGATTAGTCACCTCTTCAGTATAATATATTATCTATGCAAAACAAGGCTTCCACCCAAAAAGTAAAAAGTGAGCAATTTTACACATGTAAACAGTCTCAGTGTACGCCTAGGTATAGGTCCTAAATAAAAGTTAATCCAAATTAGCAAACAATGCGAATTTCAAGTGGACTGATTAACCTGCATTTTAACCCAGTATGGAAAATTTCATAGGTGGCCTTAATTTGTTTTAATGTAATGAGCTTGTATTGAGCTAAACCACATTAAAGACATTTTAATTCTGAATAAGAGTCTCTACACCAGAATTTAATTCAGTTCAAGACTACCTAGTCTATTAAAAAAGTTAATTTAGATTAATCTTCCTGAGTTTCTCTTGTGTAGACAAGTGCTTAGTGAGTTCAATGGGTCTACTCCCAGAAGTAAGGCCAGGTCAGCCAGGTATATAATGAGACAGAACATGTGACAGCTGGGCCAGAAAAAGTTACTTGTATAGATTAAGTTACAGAAGCAAAGTGGCCTTCCTTCCAATGCAGTTCATTTTGCCTGGAGAGGGAAGTACAGAAAGGCTTGAATAAACTCTGCCAGTTTTGCCAATTTAAGGTAAGTGCACATTGCCTATACATTACAGCAGGGGTCGGCAACCCCCGGCACATGTGCCGAGCATGGCACGCAAGGCCATTTTCCTTGGCACGCATTGGTGCCAGGGAGGCAGCAGCTGTTTGCAGCCTCCCGAGTGTAGCTGGCCCCAGCTCTGGGTAGCTGCTGCCAGCTGGGAGCCGGGGCTGCTCCCAGCAGGCAGCTGGAATGCTGCAAGCCCTGCTGGGCTCCATGGCTATCAGCAGCTGCCCAGAGCTGGGGCCAGGGCCGGCTGTAGCCTGGAGGCTACAAACAGCTGCTGCCTCCCTGCCCCCAGCCCCAACGGGCGCAGTGCCGGCACCTGCTGACTTCCTGGAGCCTGGGGCCGGGAGACAGCCAGGGCCGGGCTAGGAGGGCAGCAGCTGTTTGTAGCCTCCCTGCTGCAACCAGCCCCAGCTCTAGGGAGATGCTAATAGCCACGGAGCCTGGGCTGCTCCCATGGAAGCCCGGCTGCAAGCAGTCCGGGCTCTGTGGCTATCAGCAGCTACCCAGAACCTGGGCCAGTTGCAAACATCTGCTGCCTCTCCACCCCGGCCCCGGCCCCAGCTGCCTCCTGGCCCCAGGCTCTGGGGAGGCAGCACATACCAGCAATGCTCCCCGCTGTGCTGCCCTCGCCGCTTCTGCAAAGCAGCGTTGGAACCCGGCGCAGCATGGCACAGCGGAGGGTGCAGAAAGCTGCCTGTTCCCAGCTCCCTGCTGCTCTGCGGCAGGGGCTTTGGGTGGGGTGCAAGGGGCAAAAGGGCTGGGGGGCAAGGGCTTTGGGTGGGAGGGGGGGACAAGGGCTTTGGGTGTGGGGCAAGGGTCATGAGCAGGGCTGGGGGGCAAGGGGCAGCAGGGCTGAGGGGCAAGGGGCACACAAAGGGCATTCTGCCATGTATCCCCTGTCCTCATTTTGTTTTTCTGCCATGCCAACACTCCAGCACCTTCCAAGGTGGGCATTGTGGGGGGTTTCAGCACTCCGGCCAAAAACGTTGCCTACTTCTGCACTACAGTATATCTACTCTGGCATAGTTCTCCTATTGTAGACCAGGCTGAAATCTATTTTGGATCAGAGAGTTGGACAGCATATTTCTGAAATGGGATAGTATTGCTTTAATCCCTTGAGTCCAGTAAAGTAATATGGAGGCAGCAACTATTTTCTAAATCCTTGAATTCCACTATCTGTGCCTAAGAAGCAAGCAACATATACTGATGGGAAAATATTCTTGTTCGAGAGAATGTAATTACAAGGATCCTTTATCTTTCTTTTAAAAAGGATTTAGGATTCCGCATGCAGGTTGTTTTTTATGTCCACAGAAAACATACAAAACAGCCTGCTTCCTCCCACCCGCAACATAGAACATATATGAGCCAAAGAAAAAACTCAATAATTTGGGACAAGTAGTATTAGAACATTCAACCCCTGGATGGGTTGTCAAAGGGAAATGAAATGCAGTAGACCAGCCATTGGAAAGGGACAAAGGCCCACACATTGTTAAAAGGAGATGTCCTGGGCTAGTATTCATCTTTAAACTCTACAACACATTACATAAAATATCCTAGATCAAATTTAGACCAATGGTCTAAAGGACATCAGTGGAATTCCATTTACATTCACCAGGCCTGAATTCTGACTTCACTCATCAGTCAAAAGTTTCCAGTAAAGTACAGTTGTGTTTCAGTGTACACTGAATGGTGCATTACTTGCAATTTTAATCCATAAAGGATGGTACCTGTATCAATTAACTCTAAAAAATGTGAGGTTACATATTATACAGAGGGAAAAATTGGGACTGAGAAATTAAGATAATTGCACAAGGCCACAACATCAGTATCAGGGCAGAGAATGTAATTCAGCAGCTTTGGGATCCCAGCAGGGTTCGAAATGAGGAAGGCTCCCCATAAGAGATGAGAGCCCCCTGATAGGAGACAAGAGTCCCCCATAAGCCTCACCATAAGAGATGAGATCCCCCAGCCCGTCCTGTGCCTTTCTAAGCAGCTCAGGCAGTGGCAGCAGTGGCTGCTTCTGGCTACCACTACCGCCAACCACTCCCCCCCTCCCCTCTCCCCCTTCCCCCCGCAAGAGTCAGCGTAATTCAAACCCTGGCTCCCAGTCCTAAGCATAGACTTTTAACACTACAAATTCAAAGGCCTAGACCTAGAGTTATTAAGCTCCTTGCACTCGCTGAGTTTGGAGGTGCTCTATCTGACAGCTTATTCAAATACTTTTCTAGAAGGTAATGCTTAGGCTTATCATGCTAAAAGCACATACACTAGTGTTTTTGAGATTTCACTTAACCACCAAACACAAGCTGTATTTTTTATCATCAGTCTGTCAAACAGTACTTTGTACTCACAATATTTACAGCATTAATATTAACCTTCTTCTTAACTAACTTCTCCATGATTTCCAAATTGTTTGTTTTAGCAGCATACTGAAACTCCTTCTCATCTGGTAATACTGTAGAAAATATAACAGTTCATGTTAGTAAAGAAATATCCATAAGAAGCTTAAATTACAACTATGCTCCCCTTACTTCCTGTTATTTTGGAGATGCACATCTTGTTTCAATATTTTATGTGAATTACTTGCTTTTCCTCAGAATTGCTGTTCCAAGATTACACTTTCCCCTAGACATCGGGTTGATCTTCCTAGTTTTGATTACGGCAAACAGAAATAGAATGTTCACAGCACAGAAATACCATTAGTTGCACTGCCCAAAATAGTAACAGTTCACTGATAATGTTTCTGCCCCCAAAAACCACAAAGCACTTTACAAATGTAAGCATCATAGCACAAACCTCAAAAATTCTCTCACTTACCATTTAAATATGGGCACCTCCTTTTTGAAACCTAGAAACTGTTGGAGTGAACACACCAACACTTTACATTACAATTTAGGGAAGGAACTGAATTATGTCATCCAACTAAAACTGCAGATGGTTTATCAGTAGAAAAAAAAGAGATGATTACCTATACAAGAATTGTGTTAGGACACAGAATATTGCGATTCTTGTGGGAAAAGGTGCCCTGGAATTTATTAATGGGTCAGAACCTTTATTTTATGTCTCATCCAAAAAGACAGTACCACTAGCAACTTGGTACTCAACTGAGTGCTGAAGACTGAAAAGGCACCTACCTACCTGGACAGCAGTAACAAAATACTTTGTGGGCAATAGACAAAAAAAAGAGAATATAAAGAATTAAAGCTATACATCAGTCTGGCTAACTTGGAAGTTAGCACACTTCTGTGTCAGTAGGCTTCTGTCTCAATATTTAATTAGACAATGATACCAGCAGGACATTAGTTGGAAAGATGTGTAAAATATACACAAATAATTAACTGTTTAGTTCATAGGCTAAAATATTGTAGAAACAGAGGGACTTCGGTTCAGTACTATCAGAGAACAAAACACTATGTCCTAATTATCACTATGAGACGGACTCATCCTGCAACAGCTATTGGTTCCTGAGTGATATATGCAAGTTCTGTCCTGCTGCATTCTAGCTTCATGTACTGAAATATATTGAGATTAGTTGAGGTAGTGTGAGCCACTGCACTACAACATCCACTTAACTGTACATTATACATTATCCCTCACCAGGAATAATCCACAGTCACATTATACAAAACAATCTAGAGTATTAAACCGGACATTTCCAAAGCAATTTATTGTTATAGCCTTTTCTATGACCCTTTCAGAGCAGTATCCAAATACCTCACAATGAATGTATTTTTCCTCACAATACCCTAATGAGGTAAGAAAGTATTATTTAATCCATTTTATGGACGGGGACATGGACCAAGAATTTCAGCAAGCTGCAAACACAAAAAGCTTTTCTGGAGTAAATATTAAAAGTAGAAGCCTAAAGTCATCAACAGAGACTTGTTACTCTAACCCAGTGGTCAATCGTGCAGCCTCTGACAGTCAATCTCAGTCTGTCAGAGGCTCCACAATCAGAAGCGGCAGGACGCACGTGGCTGGGCTGAGCCTTGCCCCCTGCTGCCTGGGCCAGCCTGGGTGAGTGGGGTCAGAGCCTGGGCAGCTTGTCATGGTATGCAGGGTAGGGGGAGAGCAGAGGGGTGGGGGGGGGGGGGGGCGGGGCAGGGGCAGGCCCAGGGAGACAGTGTGGGGACCAGGAGGCAGTGCTGGGGGCAGTAGATCCTGGAGTGCCCTTTACTTACAAAAAGTGATCTTCACCATAAAAGGCTGGAGACCACTGCTCTAGCTAAAGCTATTGCTGTGCATTATACAGAAGTTCATATGCACTCTGCTCTCCCTTGCATATAGAATACTAGAGTCTGGATTTCTTAGACTATTAGGAGAGATAAATGTAAAGAACATTCCATTCAAAACATTAAAAAAATGTAAGGGCTGATGGCAGAAAATAATTCAGAAGTAACAATCTTAGGTTAGATATTAGGAAGAAATTTTTCACAGTAAGGGTGGCCAGGATCTGGAATGGGCTTCTAAGAGAGGTTGTGCTATCACCTAGCTTGGAGGTCTTCAAGAGGAGGCTAGATAGTCACCTGGCTGGGGTCATCTGACCTCAGTCCTATTTCCTGCCGGGGCAGGGGGTTGGACACGATGATCCATTGTGGTCCCTTCCAACTCTACAATCTATGAATCTACACACAACAAATACACACATCTTTTTGAGCTGTAGTATTCTGTGTTCATAAGGAAGCATCCCACTCAAAGAAAATTTTGATCTTCCTGTAGGCCACTTACAATGAAACAACATGCAGACAACAATGATTTAAAATTCTTAAGAGATAAATGACGATGAACAAGACTTTGCAATGCTTTAGCACCTTTTTTCAGCATCTAAAAGTGCTTTATAAACATGAAAGCAATCAGGACTTAAGGTAGAGGTGATATTTTTTATTAGACCAACTAGATTTTTGCAAAAAAATTCTTTAATTTTTTTTAATTTAGAAATTTCAATTTTTAGAAAATTCTTTAGATTTTTTGCAAAAATCTAGTTGGTCTCATAAAAGACATCACCTCTACCACAAGTCCTGATTGCTCTTTATTACAGTGATTTCAAAGATTGGTGAACCAGGGTCACTGTTAGATGTTCAATTAAAGGCGCAATGGGTTCTGATCTGTGATTCCAAAAAGTGTGCATCTTGCTATGCCACAAATGGGTGGCAGGAGGTGTGATTCTGGAATGGGGGATCAGATCTGAACTGTGCACTACTGCTAGTGCGGGGATCAGATCATGATCCTGGGGCCCCTTTGCATTAGCAAGTAGCAAGCCAGATGTCCAGTGTCCCTGTAGCTGAGAGCATATCAGAGCCCTTGCCAGTGTGCCCCTGCAGCCAGAAGCACCCGTCAGCTGACCAGACCTTCCAGCCTCTGGTGCACTCCCAAGTTGGGAGTGCTGGTCAGCTGATTGGTGCTAGCCACACTTTCAATTTAAGGCATGATAGGAACCATCCACAAAGTCATTACATAAATGTTGTGTAATGGCTTTGTGGCTTATTCCATTTTATCATAAATTTCCATAAATTGACTGAATCTATGGCTGGATAATTACTTAAGATGTGATTAAATAGTTAACCATATCTTAAGTATAATGTTGGCCAGGGTCCCAAGAGTCACAGAGGTTAAGTGGCTTGTGCAGAGTCACACAGCAAGTTTGTGGCTACACAACAGGCCATGCTCATTCCCATTGCAGGCAGGCAGCATTGCTGACAGCAGCTGAACAGTTGTTCATCATTTATGTGGAGGGACCAGAAATGAAGGCCCTGAGTTAGCAATACTATGTAGGGAGAAGTCCAAAAATGTAATTTGCTTACTGTGCCTTCAAGTAACAAGGAAAAGCAATTAGCACCCTGAGGGGATTTCTTTAATACATCACTCTTGAAAACAACAGGTTTGTTAGCCCCTAGAAAGAATTCATAATTTCTCTTTTACTCCTACTCAGAAGTGAAGAACTGGCTATATACAGGAAGTTTTTTTTGCTCAGAGCTTGATATATCTTGATATGAAATTCAGGAAGCAAAAACAACCGCATTCCAGTTCCACCACAAATTTAGCTTTCTTTATAACCTTTTGTTATTTTTACCAAATGATTTTTTTCATGCATGAAGTTACAAAATCATAGAAATGTCAGACCAGAAATGTATTGAAGGCTTCTCTCCAAGCTGTGGTTTCCACAGCCCTGCATTTCTCCACAGTATTATCAACCTATTTTCAGGTAGCAGTAAATCTCGCTAATGCCAAGACAAAATCTCCTTAAGACTGTCAAAGAAAGAAGATCTGCTTGGCTTCATTTAAACTTTTTGGCCAAGTGTTCTCCAGGTTTCATCATAATGGTGTTTTTTCCTCATATTTTCACAAAAAACAGATTAAAAACATGTATGCTAACAATAGATTCTCTTGTGACGAATAGTACATGATACAAACAAAAGAGCATAGTATCATTTTAATGTAATATACATTTTTGTCTCTTGGAAAGAAAATAAGAGGACACAGAAAAAAAGCAAAAGAAATTGCCACACTGTTTTAGATACCTGGGGAAAAAAACACTGTGGAAGGGCAAGCCTTTAAGATTTGACCCATTCTTCATTCCTGCATTTAACTGTTATTTCAATACTAACAGCTTGATTTTCCTTTCATTTACATTACCACAAACAAGAACTAATTCCATCGAACTCAAGATGAAGAAAATGACTTACTGCTTCAGTATTCTCAGTTGGAACTGTTCAATTTGAATAATAAATCTTTCTTTGCTTTTTGTCATTGTTTACCTTTCATAGTATCCATAAAGATAAAAATCTGTCATTACCATACAGGAAGTAGAATATATTTTTTGGGCTAAGCAACAATTTAAGCTGGTTGGAATACATGGAGGGAAAGGAAGATTGGGGGAAATAAGCCATCTAGGTAGATTCATAGATGTTTGGGTCAGAAGGTACCTTAGCAGATCATGGAGTCCAACCCCCTGCCCTGGGCAGGAAAAAGAGCTGGGGTCAGATGACCCCAATCAGGTGCATGTCTAGCCTACTCTTAAAGACCCCCAAGGTAGGGGAGAGCACTACCTTCCTTGGAAGCCCATTCCAGATTTTGGCAACCCTTACCATAAATAAGTTCTTTCTGATGTCTAACCTAAATTTGCTCTCCAAACCTAAACCTGCTTTCCAGGTAGTTTTCATGCTACATATTCTGGATAGATGTGATTTTCCATATATTCATTTTTTTTATTAAAAAGATTCTTTTTTTTCAGATCTTTGCCTTTTCCTTCAAAACCCTCACCCTTTTTTCTTATTTATCACTAGAAGTGTGGGAGAAGGGAAGAAGAAAATGAAGGAAAAAAACATTTTGGTTTAAACTGCAGAAATTCCCTTCTCCTAAATAGTCAATTTTTCTCCTTAAAGATACATTCCTACCAGTTCTAATAGTGACATTTCTTATGTATTTTACTTTAGTAAATACATTTGGTATTTATTTCACATTATTCAATAGGATGCTTTCCCAGCTGAGCTTGTAAGGGCTCTCTGCAGGTTCTGAGCTCTCCCACATTCTGAGAAGAGCCGAAATAAGCTCAGGGCACTTATACACATATCTTTTTGTCTCATAACACGCCAGAGATCCACCATTTCAGAGCACACTCGATTAATCAAGTCTGCTGTGCACACAAGCTGATGTAAAGTGTACTGCGCCATGTGCAATTGTATAATTGGCTAGATGTCAGCATGCAGAAAATGGCAGTGGTGCACTTTTGGATTAAAACATCTTCTATGTATTTTAGTTTAAAAGAGCTCCACTGCCATTTTCAGAGTGCTGACATGCATTTTGCCATTTATACAACTGCAAGTGACGCAGCACCGGGTGCTTTTCAAAGCACCCGGTGCTGCAGTGCTTACATGTGTAAAAATGCCCTCAGTGACCATAGAATCATAGGGAAGTAGGGTTGGAAGGGGCCTCACAATGTCATCTACTCCAGCCCCACGCTCCAGGCAGGATTATCCCTGACTA